TCTATAGTCTTGTCTATAGACCAGTCTATAGTCTTGCCTATAGATCAGTCTATAGTCTTGTCTATAGATCAGTCTATAGTCTTGTCTATAGATCAGTCTATAGTTTTGTCTATAGATCTGTATATAGTCTTGTCTATAGATCAGTATATAGTCTTGCCTATAGACCAGTCTATAGTCTTGTCTATAGACCAGTCTATAGTCTTGTCAATAGACCAGTCTATAGTCTTGTCTGTAGACCAGTCTATAGTCTTGTCTATAGACCAGTCAATAGTCTTGTCTATAGACCAGTCTATAGTCTTGTCTATAGACCAGTCTATAGTCTTGTCTATAGGCCAGTCTATAGTCTTGTCTATAGACCAGTCTATAGTCTTGTCTATAGGCCAGTCTATAGTCTTGTCTATAGACCAGTCTATAGTCTTGTCTATAGACCAGTCTATAGTCTTGTCAATTGAGCAGTCTATTGTCTTGTCTATAGACCAGTCTATAGTCTTGTCCATAAACCACTCTTGTCTATAGAGCAGTCTATAGTCTTGTCTATAGACTAGTCTATATTCTTGCCTATAGACTAGTATTGTCTATAGACCAGACTATAGCCTTGCCTGTAGACTATTCTATAGTCTTTTCTATAGACCAGTCTTGTCTTTAGACCAGTCTACGCCATAAAGTTTTAAGGGCCTAAACTAAGATCCTATTTGTTAATTAACATATAATCTGTCATGTTCGACTTTAGTTTAATTTGTTATTAACTATAATAAAAATGTACATTACATAAAAATTTTTTTGAGTGTCGACCTTTGTTAGATTAGAATAAAAAAAAACAAATTGTTGACATGATGCATTTACGTTAATTGTTATTTTATGAGTAATTTTATTTAATATGTGGAGTTGTTGTTTATTTATATTTTTTGTTTTGTTATATTTTGTTAGCGCTTCTCATGCATATGAAAAGAGAGTTTTCCATCAACATTATACATTCACATTTACAATATACATTTTTAAGCTTTTAATCCTTTTTGTGAAATATTTAAAACTTTCCATATAAAAAGAGGGAAAAACTTTATTTTAACGGTTTATTACCATAGAGTAAAGTAAAATTCAATTATGTATGAAGTGATATATTATTTTTTTTTAACGAAATACAAAACTTTTATAGAAAACTTCACGTGTAGTTAGAGTTGGATATGAGTAGGAGAAAGTTGTTATATGTATAGGGAATCTATTTACATTATGTTAGATTAAATATGCAAATGTTAGTGAAATTTATATTAATTTTGTATTATATTTTCTCTTTTTTAGGTAAGCTGCCGTTTTATTGTTTATTTATAAATAAATGTATGAAATTCTAGAGAATTGGTAAGTTTAGTACCTAAGATAAGTTTAACAAATACATTTTTGTAATCTTTGTTATATTTTTATGTTTTCATTCAAAAAGGTTTAGTTTGCATCTAAACTATACTTTTTGTTTAACTTACATACATATTTTTACTAATAATACACTTTTGAAAGTATGTACCTCCAAAAAGTATACCCCATAATTATGCAATTAGTCATACCCTAAAGTATGCTTTACATATTTAAACAAACATTCCACTTTCTTCTTAATACCTAAACACTTAAAGTAAAAAACAAAATTTTAAACAATATGGACTCTAAAAAACACGAAAACTAAGAAGACGCTTGTTAAACGTTTAACTTGCAAACGACAGAGATTAATGTCGTCGTATGTGACACTTAACGCTTGAATATCAACTCGAGACGTCTGCCCATAGACTCACTTTTCATACATGATGCATTTACTGGCACAAAACCAAAATATATTTATGCCTCAAAAAAAGTAACTTATTAGGGAGGTATATAAAACGTTAAACAATTACAACTTGATCATATTTTGACAGCAATCTTACAAGGATCCATTTTTGTTACAAGCCCCCTAAATCTTCCGAAAATCACTTGCTCAGAGTATTCTTCTTGATATTATAGAAAACTAAAACGAAACCAACCTAATGCACATATTCATATGTAAAGTACTTGAACCTCCATATCAGTCTTATTCTAACTTCATATACTTGAACTATTTCCTAGTAGAACTTGTCACAGTTAACTGTCAAAACAGAGTTCCTCACAAACAACAAATGTTATTTCAACAACATTGGTCAAGAACTTTTTATTGTTTGTGCAAACCTCAAACGGCTAGACATAGCTCTATAATACGAGTAAATCCCAGCAAAAGCATTTTCATTAGTCAAGTACGAACTCTTTAAAGACCACTACTTACCGTCTAGATTACTTAAAAGGAGTCTAGTAATGACTTACAAATAACTTTTTGGTCTTGACATTTTGTTTTCGATTTTTATTTTTTCTATGTGACTGTTTTTTAGACTTAACTACTTATTTGACTTCTTATTAGCAGACGATCGCGGTAAGTACTTATTTAACCCCCTATTTATAAGCAATCGTGGTAAGTTCTTGCTTCCAATATCAACGCCGTTTTAAAATAATGACTTAAAATGCTTTAGTGTAAGTCAATTTAAGCATTTTAACCCGTTATTTGTTGAAGAAACTTTTTGTTGGTTTATTGTTCTATGAAAATATTTTACCATAACTTTCCTGCCATAGCCTTTTAATTCCGCAAAGGCCAGTAATAATTATTTTGTTGATTTTTTCTTCCTTCTATTTTTGTTGTGTTTAAAGTTCATACACCTGTTATTTGAACTTAAGGATTTATTTTTTGTGTGACACTAAATGCATAAATGCACTAGACGTTATAAAAATTAACAACTGCATTTGCAGAAAACCAACAGAGTTTTTTGTAAAGCAAACATTTAGTAGATTTGGTTATAGGAAGTTTTAAGAAAATATGAATGGAATCACTAGACAAGAAAGTTGTAAAGTATTGTTTAATAGTTTTTTGTTTGTTTTATTTTTAACAATGTTGCTTGAAGCAGATTAGAACTGAAAATAACAATTGCATATATTCGGTTAACTGAATTTTATAAAACTTACTATCTAATTATGTAGCTACTAGGTAGCTGCAACATCAGATGAATTTTTAGAAAATCACCTTCAGTAGCGGCATACATCAAATTTGGAACAAATTCTTGGGATACTTAAGCCATTTATTGTTGAATGAAATTGTGGACATTTAAGTCAGATTTTGAAGGGGGCTTCGAATAGGGGTTATGGTCAAATGGGACCATATAATTATAAAATTCATGAGGTTTATCAAGGCAGGTATAGAACTTGGTTTTGTAGCTTTTTGTCGAGATGCGAGTATATTAAACATAATTATGAACTCAAAAGCCCTATTCGTCGTGTTCAGTTGTATGGGGGCTAGGTGAGATAATGGACCAATGTTAACCATTTTCAATAGGCTTTGTCTCCGGTAAAATATATGATCATGTGCCAAATTTCATTGAATTATCTTCAAAATTGCGACCTCTAGTTTGATTACAAGGTTTACATGTCCTATTCGGGGGTTCAGTTGTATGGGGGCTAGATGAAATAATGGACCGGTCTTAACCATTCAATAGGCTTCGTCCCTGGAGCAATAGAAGATCATGTGCCAAATTTTATTGAAGTATCTTCAAAATTGCGACCTGTAGTTTGATTAGAAGGTTTACATGGATGGACGGACGCACATACGGACGGACATAGCTAAATCGACTTAGACAATGATTCTAAGCCGATTGGTATACTTTAAGTTGGGTATAGGACCAATATTATTGTGCGTTTCAAACCTAATATACCCTCCCCACTAAAGGGGTGTAGGCTATAAAAAGACTCGTTTCTGCCAGTTTAGCCCAAAGTGATGCACTTCTTTCATGAGCCTCAGTCTCATTTTTGCAAAGTAGTGATCATTTTCTCAACCTCATATCTTGCAAACTGTTCGGAATTTTCATTTGCTCTCTGAGGTAAAGTTCTAGCTCTTATCATAAAGTATATATAAAATCAAAAAAACGTCATCTTCATTTTGTCATTTCAAGTGAAAAGTTTTACATTACGAAATTTCACCTCTTTTATTAAAGACACCTGTACGTATACGTGCTAATTGATTCTTAGATATTACAAATATTAAGTATACGTCTAATTTGGTGAGGCCCTTGATATATTTTTTAATCACGTCTTTTGTGATTTTGATCTTAACGATGAAGTTTTGTTGATTTTGTATGTTCACAACTTCGCCTCAGAGAGTAAATCAAAATTCCGAACGGTTTACAGATATGAGCGTGAAAAAATTTAAATTTTTTTGTAAAGCTGACACCAAGCCACCAAATCTTTGGGAGCCGATACAAAAAGTACATAACTATTGGCGGTAAGATCAAATTAGAGAAGATGGAAGACAGTTTTCTCTTTATCCTTGTCATTGCAGCTGCAACAAAATTCATTAAAGGAGAGGCCGAGCTACTTGCTTATGTGCCTAAAGCTTTTTCCATTCAAAAGAAGGCCAAATTAACTTGTACCTGATTGTGTCCTTTGAAGAAAGAACCTGAGGACACTGAGTAGTATTGATAAGTCCTGAGTAGTGTGGATAAATACCTGATTGTGTAGGTCATTCCATTCACTTTCAGCCTTTTGAAGAAAGAACCTGAGGACACTGAGTAGTGTTGATAAATCCTAAGGGAGTTGCTACTGAATCGCAAGTGGAGATTTTCAAGCAAACCTCGTTCTGAATTTCCATAGCAGTCCCTATAGGCAGACAGGCGACCAAGTTCTGATCCTTCCTAAGCTCTGATCCTTCATGCATTGTCTGACTAATAGGGAAGTGCGTAGTGTAAGAGAGTAATGAAAGTAGTGCAGCATGACTATCAACGATTGTCGATTCCTATATTGCCACAAATATTTAGCTCATATATCGCCAATATTTTAGACTGAAAACACTACACATGCTGGAAAGACTACGATAGATACTTATCACAACATCCTTGCAGAAGACACCAGATCCAACACCACAGTTCATTGTAGAACTATCTATATAAATCTAAGGTTATACCTGTTTGGAATGTTAGCCATAAAAGTTGGCTATAAAAGTCCGTGTGTAGGGGAGTATAGTAGGAAGAAATCCTTGCATGTCCATAGGTTCTTGATCTCCAACATCCGTATGAGTTAAGCTTCGCTAAAATCCAAAAAGATATCGGCTTTATATGAAGACCTGTAAGTAGAATGAGCAATATACTGGTCAAAGTTTTCAGAGGATTAATTCTTAGTTGTTAATTTCATTAGTTCTTAGCAGATTTATTCCATTGGCAGATTCTAACTTCAACTGAAGTATAAAACCCACTTATCAAATTCAATTCGCATTAACTTATAAAATTCCTACTGTGGTGTAATCACCATAATCATAAATAATTTGTAAAATTATTTATGGAAAACAGTTTAATGAAGCAACTTTAAACTGAGTTTTAATTCAATAGTTTTTGTATAAACTAGTAGGTGTATGCTGATTATTATATATGTAGTAAGAACAGAGACAAATACATACATATATTGCCATATTACCTACGGCCAAAGTAAAAAAAAATCTTAAATGTACATACACACATATATCTATACATAGTATGTTAATGAACAAATATTGAACAGACTCAAACAAAAAAGAGGAAAAAACCAAACCGCACCATAAAATTCTCACATACACATGGGTAAACATTGGCGAGAAATGAGACAGAAATGAATGAGCAACCAAACGAAAAAAAAATAGCAAATAATTTCAGCATGAAAGTGGTAAATTAAGTTGTCATTAAAAGCTTAATTAAATTCTTTTGTTGATAGTTGACATGTTTGCCAACAACGATGCATAAAAAATTTCTATATCTTTTTGTTCATCTCTTTAAAAAAAAAAACAAACAAAACAAAAAAGTTGGTTAAGGGATAATATTTTGGTGCTTTTTTTGCTTAAATTTTTAAGTTGAATAATGAAAAATAGTGTTTTCTTGCTTTTATTGTTTTAAATTTAGTATTCAGCAAATATTTAACTAAAATTAAGGTCGAAATGAGAGGGTAAAATAAACATAAACTCAATGTTAATGTCATAGTTGAAGCATACGTGCAGGCGAAAGTTACATTCATCTCGCATACAAAGGCTTAACAGAAAACAACTCGTATTCTGCTATGATTATGGCTGTGTATGTGTGTGTCTGTGTAGTCATTTGTATGAAAAGTAATTTGCATAGCATACATACAGGCTGCTAATGATAAATATTTAACTAATGTGCGTGTTAAGAATTTTGAAAAAAAAAAGGAAAAGTTTTTTATACACAAACTCATGGTAGTTATACGTACATATGAAAGTTGCTATACTTACCCATATGGGTATTGGTACATATGTATGTACAAAAGTATGAAAGTTTTCACCAGTGATATTGTTCATCTCTCCTGAGATACTAGCAAAAAATACACCGACTATATCTATATTAAAAGGGGACAAGAACAGAAATGTCCAACATATGGCCATGAACATGTGGACATGAAAAATTTATTGAAAGCTTATACCAGAAAAATCTTAACGAAGAAAATCTGTGATCACTTAAACTTCCTACCAAAACTTGATTTTTGAGTGAAAACATAAAATTCCATTTTCTGGCTAAACTAGAAGAGCTAGGGCCAAAAGAAAGAAAATCTGTGATCACTTGGATTTCCTACCAATACTCAATTTTTGGGTGAAAACAAAAATTTCCATTTTCTGGCTAAACTAGAAGAGATAGGGCCAAAAGGAAGAAAATCTGTGATCACTTTTATTTCCTACCAAAACTCAATTTTTGGGTGAAAACATAAAAGTTCATTTTCTGGCTAAACTAGAAGAGATAGGGCCAAAAGGAAGAAAATTTGTGATCACTGACATATCCTACCAAAACTCGATTTTTGAGTGAAAACATAAAGGTCCATTTTCTGGCTAAACTATAAGAGCTAGGGCCAAAAGGAAGAAAATCTGTGATCACTTGCATTTCCTACCAAAACTCTATTTTTGAGAGAAAACATAGAAGTCCACTTTCTGGCTAAACTATAAGAGCTAAGGCCAAACGGATAAAAATCTGTGATCACTTGCATTTGCTACCAAAACTCAATTTTTTGTGAAAACATAAAAGTCCATTTTCTGGCTAAACTAGAAGAGCTAGGGCCAAAACGAAGAAAATCTGTGATCACTGACATTTCCTACCAAAACTCGATTTTTGAGTGAAAACATAAAAGTCCATTTTCTGGCTAAACTATAAGAGCTAGGGCCAACAGAAAGAAAATCTCTGATCACTTGCATTTTTTACCAAAACTCGATCTTTGAGTGAAAATATAAAAGTCCATTTTCTGGCTAAACTATAAGAGCTAGGGCCAAAAGGAAGAAAATCTGTGATCACTTGCATTTCCTACCAAAATTCGGTTTTTGAGTGAAAACATAAAAGTCCATTTTCTGGCTAAACCAGAAGAGCTAGGGCCAAAACGAAGAAAATCTGTGATCACTTTTATTTCCTACCAATACTCAATTTTTGGCTGAAAACAAAAAAATCCATTTTCTGGCTAAACTAGAAGAGATAGGGCCAAAAGGAAGAAAATCTGTGATCACTTTTATTTCCTACCAAAACTCAATTTTTGGGTGAAAACATAAAAGTCCATTTTCTGGATAAACTAGAAGAGATAGGGCCAAAAGGAAGAAAATCTGTGATCACATACATTTGCTACTAAAACTCGATTTTTGAGTGAAAACATAAAAGTCCATTTTCTGACTAAACTAGAAGAGGTAGGGCCAAAAGGAAGAAAATCTGTGATCACTTTTATTTCCTACCAAAACTCAATTTTTGGGTGAAAACATAAAAGTCCATTTTCTGGATAAACTAGAAGAGATAGGGCCAAAAGGAAGAAAATCTGTGATCACATACATTTGCCACCAAAACTCGATTTTTGAGTGAAAACATAAAAGTCCATTTTCTGACTAAATTAGAAGAGCTAGGGCCAAAAGGAAGAAAATCTGTGATCACTTTTATTTCCTAACAAAACTCAATTTTTGGGTGAAAACATAAAAGTCCATTCTGGATAAACTAGAAGAGATAGGGCCAAAAGGAAGAAAATCTGTGATCACTTACATTTGCTACCAAAACTAGAAGAGATAGGGCCAAAAGGAAGAAAATCTGTGATCACTTACATTTGCTACCAAAACTCGATTTTTGAGTGAAAACATAAAAGTCCATTTTCTGGCTAAACTATAAGAGCTAGGGCCAAAAGGAAGAAAATCTGTGATCACTTGCATTTCCTACCAAAACTCAATTTTTAGGTGAAAACATAAAAGTCCATTTTATGGCTAAACTATAAGAGCTAGGGCCAAAAGGAAAAAATTTTTGAGTGAAAACATAAAAGTCCATTTTCTGGCTAAACTATAAGAGCTAGGGCCAAAAGGAAGAAAATCTGTGATCACTTGCATTTCCTACCAAAACTCAATTTTTAGGTGAAAACATAAAAGTCCATTTTATGGCTAAACTATAAGAGCTAGGGCCAAAAGGAAAAAAATCTGTGATCACTTGCATTTCCTTCCAAAACTCGATTTTTGAGAGAAAACATAAAAGTTCATTTTCTGACTAAACTAGAAGAGCTAGGGTCAAAAGGAAGAAAATCTGTGATCACTTGCATTTCCTACCAAAACTCAATTTTTTAATGAAAACATAAAAGTCCATTTTCTTGCTAAACTGTAAGAGCTAGGGCAAAAGGATAAAAATCTGTGATCACTTTTATTTCCTACCAAAACACGATTTTTGAGTGAAAACATAAAAGTCCATTTTCTGGCTAACCTATAAGAGCTAGGGCCAAAAGGAAGAAAATCTGTGATCACTTGCATTTCCTACCAAAACTCAATTTTTGAGTGAAAACATAAAAGTCCATTTTCTGACTAAACTAGAAGAGCTAGGGCCAAAACGAAGAAAATCTGTGATCGCTTGCATTTCCTACCAAAACTCAATTTTTGAGTGAAAACATAAAAGTCCATTTTCTGGATAAACTAGAAGAGATAGGGCCAAAAGTAAGAAAATCTGTGATCACTTACATTTGCTACCAAAACTCGATTTTTGAGTGAAAACATAAGAGCTAGGGCCAAAAGGAAGAAAATCTGTGAAATTTCCTACCAAAACTCAATTTTTAGGTGAAAACATAAAAGTCCATTTTCTGGCTAAACTATAAGAGCTAGGGCCAAAAGGAAAAAAATCTGTGATCACTTGCATTTCCTTCCAAAACTCGATTTTTGAGAGAAAACATAAAAGTCCATTTTCTGACTAAACTAGAAGAGCTAGGGTCAAAAGGAAGAAAATCTGTGATCACTTGCATTTCCTACCAAAACTCAATTTTTTAATGAAAACATAAAAGTCCATTTTCTTGCTAAACTGTAAGAGCTAGGGCAAAAGGATAAAAATCTGTGATCACTTTTATTTCCTACCAAAACTCGATTTTTGAGTGAAAACATAAAAGTCCATTTTCTGGCTAAACTATAAGAGCTAGGACCAAAAGGAAGAAAATCTGTGATCACGTGCATTTCCTAACAAAATTCGATTTTTGAGTGAAAACATAAAAGTCCATTTTCTGGCTAAACCAGAAGAGCTAGGGCCAAAAGAAAGAAAATCTGTGATCACTTGCATTTCTTACCAAAATTCGATTTTTGAGTGAAAACATAAAAGTCCATTTCCTGGCTAAACTATAAGAGCTAGGGCCAAAAGGAAGAAAATCTGTGATCACTTGCATTTCCTACCAAAACTCAATTTTTGGGTGAAAACATAAAAGTCCATTTTCTGGCTAAACTATAAGACCTAGGGCCAAAAGGAAGAAAATCTGTGATCACTTGCATTTCCTACCAAACTTGATTTTTGATGAAAAACATAAATGTCCATTTTCTGGCTAAACTAGAAGAGCTAGGGCAAAAGGATAAAAATCTGTGATCACTTTTATTTCCTACCAAAACTCGATTTTTGAGCGAAAACATAAAAGTCCATTTTCTTGCTAAACTAGAAGAGCTAGGGCCAAAAGGAAGAAAATCTGTGATCACTTGCATTTCCTACCAAAACTCGATTTTGAGAGAAAACATAAAAGTCCATTTTCTGGCTAAACTATAAGAGCTAGGGCCAAAAGGAAGAAAATCTGTGATCACTTTTATTTCCTACCAAAACTCAATTTTTGGGTGAAAAT